GTGGGTGTCTGTGCATCTGGCTGGATGGGTGGGCTTTTAGGTGGGAGGGCTTTTCAGTGGTGTGATGAGCTGGGAGAGTACTGGTAAGATAAAATAAGATAAGATTTCGTTCGGATTTTTAACCCTGGAGGGTTAGCCACCCAGGATAACCCAAGAAAGTCAGTGCGTCATCGAGGACTGTTTAACTTATTTCCATTGGGGTCCTTAATCTTGTCCCCCAGGATGCGACCCACACCAGTCGACTAACACCCAGGTACCTATTTGCTGCTAGGTGAAGCAGGACAACAGGTGTAAGGAAACATGTCGAAATGTTTCCACCCACCGGGAATCGAACCCGGGCCCTCTGTGTGTGAAGCGGGAGCTTTAGCCACCAGGCCACCGGGCCTGATGGGATCTTTCACGGTTGCCCCTGACCATAAATAACTGAGGTTAGCGAATGAGGAAGTAGCAGATATGAAATCCTGGCTATTTATAAATGGTGAAATGCATAAAAAAGTCATCAAATATGTATGATCAAAATTTTAATCTAGAGCAGTGGTATGGTGTCTGCATAAAAAACTGATAGTGGTCTAGAAATACTATAAAACAGCTAACAGAGATTAAAGTTCTAGAAATGAGATAAAATGTGATGATTGGTAAAGACAAATAGTAGATATAAAAGTATTAAGACTATTAAACACTAAATAAAGAAAATGATATAAGGTTGTAGTACAACTGAGGGTATATTCCTTGAGAACACTGACAATGCCCAGTTTGGCTAATAAAAAAAGGCTGTTATATTATAACCACATACGTATGTAATATAAAATATGAAACCATTGGCATGAAAGACTGGAGTGCCAGTAACAAGGAAAACAAGTGACCAGAAATGTAAATTGAGAAAAAACAATACTGGAAGAAAACTATATCTTCAAATAAGAATGTTGAATACTGGAATCTGATAAACAAGATAAAGCAATCACTGCTGTAAGCACTTTAAAACAACATTTAAGAAATTATTGCACATGTGAATCTAATCAACATGATGGGACACCATGAACATTATGCTCTTCCTGTATCTACAAGTACTAGGTGAAAATTAGACACATGCAATATTGTAAATCTTTAGTGTAGATGTTTTGCCATCCATTGGCTTTATCAATACAATTTCAAGGACATAATTGGAAGACAGTAGAACTAAATGCAAAAGTTGAGGTAATCAGTCCCTCAGCCTTGGAGTTGGTGTAAAGATCATCATAGTTGTGAAGAATCTGGAGCACAGGCAAGAAGGCTGGCAATTATATACTTGTGTCAAGTGGAAAGGAACATGTAGCAGATGAAGACGTTGTCACTGGTAGGCGGGATACCCCAGTTAAAGTACATCATTCCCGAGGGACGAGTCAGTAGTAGTAGTAAAGAAGGTTGTGGAGATGTCCTCTGAATCAAGATTCCATGATGTTCCATGAGTGCGCTGCTGCTCTGTGTATATGCCAAGAAGATGGGTTTTGGAAAGGCAAATAAGAGGGTATACCTTCTGCATCCTAATAAATATTATGCAGCTGTTGCTTCTAGCAGCTGAATTGAAGCTATTGTGAGATTCTTGGAGAAGGAGGAGAAGGTCCTTTCCTATGAACAACAGGTGACATTTATTAGAATGTTTGAACAGGACCCTATTTAGCCCTATTATATAAAAAAAAATTCCAAGTGGATTCTCTGCAGGTGATACATTCCTCAAGTGCTCTCTTGCTCTACCTGGGGAACCATATCAGTGGGTCATATTCAACCTGTATATAGCCTTATGCCATTCCAGCTGGAGTTTGGTTGCCAGACCTACTACTCTGCCATCTCATTCCTTCTGTCTTTTCTAAATTTTGTCTATCACCTTGGGCTACAGCTTGCCATGGGCATATTACATATTTTTCCTTTTGAGAGCCTTTTATATTAAGTTGGGTGATTTTTTCCTTGGATCTCTCATGGAGGGCTAGGCCTGCACTATCTGTTTTGGGTTGGGAATACACCTAGCAACCAAACTTATGCTGTGATCTTCGTGGTGGAGAGAGGGGAAAAAACCTTTCATTGTCCTGCAAGGCTTCCTGTGTCAATTAATGTTCAGATGTGAGCTGCTGTCTTGGATTATGGTCTCAATATACCTGTAGTCAGAGAGGTTGACTTCTATCCCTGCCCTACTAAGACAGTGCCTGAGGTATGTCTTTGTATGTAGTAGTTGGGATCTCCTAAGTGCCAAGTTTTGTTGATGACCTTGGCTAAGTTCTTGGAACATGAGTTTATTTATTCTTGAAGAATAAAGACTTTTATTGATGGGACAAGAGTGAGGGTTGCATTGACTTTGTGGTAACTGCTAGTGAAGACTATTGTGCACAGTTGCCAAACAAATCCTGTGTTCACTGCAGAGCTCCACACAATTCTTGCTGTTCTCATCCTGATAGCTGGCTAAGTTGGATTTTAGTTCACAGTACTCAGATTCCCAATTCACTTTTGTTTGCCCTGGCTCAGTATGCCTCTGTCTTCTACTGTGGTCCTAAAAATCCAGGAGTGGCAGGCCTGGTCTGACCTACAGACGAGAAGCAAGTTAAATGAGGGCATTTGGCTACCCTCCTTCAACAGAAATTGTAACTTTTAGAAAAGGCTGTGTCAATTGAAGACTGGGCATATACCTCACCCATGGCCATTGTTTACAGATGCTCTTGTCCCTTACTGTGTATGTGGCTTGTGGCATGTTTGTCTGTGGCTTGGGCCTTTTTGTTTGTCATGGTTTTTATAATTACCAGGGTGCCTTAAGGATCTCTGACATTAGCAGTTTAATCAGTTTTAGTTGATGCTTGTTATTTTAGCTTGGTGTGAAAGCATTTATTCGTGTTGTGTGTTTTATTCATACTAGTAGGTTATTATTATTTATTACTGTATTATCTTGTGTTTGTGTTTTGTTTATTGCAAAGAGTTCTAAATGATCACTTTTTAAATTTCATAACTACTTTCCTACACTTTTTCCTTTCCTCACCTTAGTTCTTTGACTTAATAATTTATGAACTATAATAATTTTTCTGGATCAAGTGTAAGTTTTTATCATGATCCTATTGAGTATTTGATCTCTAATTACAGTTGTTGAGAAAATTATATATTTCAGCAGAGGAATGTGCAAATTAGAGGTCAGTGTTTCAATATTAAAGCATTGAATACCATTTTCTGCTTTTTCTATGCTGGCATGTTGGGTGCAATTTGCTTCAGTCCAGTTATGTTTGTGTAGTATTGATTGCAGCCAGTGGGAGGGGCCACCGCCTCACGTGATTAGAGACCACTCGCTTAGTACACTGACTGGATCCTTGCTCTTGGAACTTGTGTTATTTCTCATAGACTTACCTATACTTTCGCCATGTTTGAGGATCCTGTGTGTTGGTGTTGTATATTTTATATGCACACCTAATTACAGTATTTCTCATGGTTGATACTTTTTTATAATTTATTTTATTTATGTAGGTGTTTTCAGTTCATTATATTTCTTGATTTTTTTCCATTTACTGTTAATTTTGGCTTAATTTTATTTTTTTCAGAAAACATGCTTTATTACAATTGCTTAGATTTTCCCCTTTATTGGCTATCTTTTTAATGTAGCTGCTGTCTGGTTTTGTTTATCCTTCCCATCTTAATATATTAATTTATTTTTATTTTCCTCTACCATTAATTAGTGCTTGTCAGTTGTGTTGTGACAGCAACCTGCTCATGATTTTCCCTTTCCTTTGCCCCTGCAGATAATGCACCATATTGTAAGTCAGGCTCACTGCAATGAAGGTAAAGGTAATCAATACAGGTGGGGACTTTCATGTGTTGTGTGCAGTTAAATGCCATCATGGGGGTGAAGTCTTGTTATTATTGCTTCTGAATAACCATTGGCACTTGCTGGTCACTCCACTTGCCGGTTATGCCTTTAGTAATGTAGACAGCTGGGTCATTGAACTTTATTTTGTTAAGCATTTTTTGTGTTTATTTTAATTTTTTTTGTTTGTGTTTTCTTTTTAATCTTAGCTCTAAGTTTTATATTGTAAGGTTAATATTGTATTATTTAGTAATAGTCTGTTCAGTACTTAAATTTTTTAATATCATTGTGAACATGGTAGTTGCTTGCAGTACTGTGAATGTAATACAAATTACAATAAATAAGTGTTAGTGTTTACTAAGCACAGTACATGGGTAATTAATTTAAATGTGCAAATTCAAGTTCTTCATACCCGTGGGAAAATCAAATTGCGAGGTAACTAATATTTGGCTTACCAGCATATCATACATCTTTTAAAGAGTTCAGTTTTTATGTTTAGTAAATTCAACAAATTTTATTATTGTTGAATGCACTGTAATTGTTTTCCTTACTCTACCATAAAAATTATTTGCTTTGTTTGTGCTTAGCAATATTTTATTACATGTAAACTACACTTTGTATACTACACAAAGAAATAAATTTTTGTTTGTTTATTGCTCATGATTCTGTTGCACATATTTTTAAATTTTTACTTGTTTTATAACATGCATTCCTTATTTTTAAAATTTGTGTTATTGATTTTTTTTTTTTAGAATTGATGTTCATTTAATAAATAAAAATTCTAGCTGACAGGTTGGTATAGTACAAATACAAAAGTTTATATTGTTTAAGTGATTAACTGAATTAACTGGTTAGCCAGACTTGAGTCATGGAAGTGGGAAGTACAATGCCTGTAGTACTTTAAAGGAGGGGTTTGGGATATTGGATGTTTGGAATGACATAAACTGTCATGTCTGGGTGCCTCTGCAAAGACAGTGATTATGTGTGAATGATGGTAGTGTTTCTTTTTTGGGTCGCCCTGCCTCGGTGGAAGACAGCCAATGTGTTATAAAAATCATTTGCTTGAAAATGCTGTGCATTTCCTATTTTTATTTGTATTACCTTAATGATATAGATTCTAAACAGGTTTCTTATTTCTGTCAGTCAGTGCTGTGCATTTTGATTCTTAGTCATTTTATTTTATTTTCAGGGTTGAGTTCCAGCATCTGTATCAGATCATCAATGCTATAGGAGAGGCATCCTCCTTTGCTCAAGGTCTCAACAATGTTATCACAACAGCAGACAAACTGCAAAATTCTGACCACCTTCTTTATCTCATGAAAGAAGAAGATGAATCCACGTAAGTAATATGCTTAACTAGCTATTAGAGAAATATTTTATAAGATGTAAAATTTCTACAAGCACATTCAAGCTCTTATTTAATGCTTATTGCCAGGTGAATTACCATGCCATGTCTGGCAGTTTGCTTTACCAAATCTGTTTGCAAAGTTTTAAATGTGTGCCAGATAATGTAGTACAAATTTTTAGCAAACTAAATTATTCATGCAATTCTTCTTCTTTGAACAAGCTGGCCGTATCCCACCGAGGCAGGGTGGCCCAAAAAGAAAAACAAAAGCTTCTCTTTTTAAATTTAGTAATTTATACAGGAGAAGGGGTTACTAGCCCCTTGCTCCCGGCATTTTAGTCGCCTCTTACAACACGCATGGCTTACAGAGTAAGAATTCTGTTCCACTTCCCCATGGAGATAGAGGAAATAAACAAGAACAAGAACTAGAAAGAAAATAGCAAAAAACCCAGACGGGTGTGTGTATATATATGCTTGTACATGTGTAGTGTGACCTAAGTGTAAGCAGAAGTAGCAAGACGTACCTGAAATCTTGCATGTTTATGAGACAGAAAAAGGACACCAGCAATCCTACCATCATGTAAAACAATTACAGGCTTTCGTTTTACACTCACTTGGCAGGATGGTAGTACCTCCCTGGGCGGTTGCTGTCTACCAACCTACTACCTACTATTCATATTATTTTATTTTTTTTATTATCACACCGGCCGATTCCCACCAAGGCAGGGTGGCCCGAAAAAGAAAAACTTTCACCATCATTCACTCCATCACTGTCTTGCCAGAAGGGTGCTTTACACTACAGTTTTTAAACTGCAACATTAACACCCCTCCTTCAGAGTGCAGGCACTGTACTTCCCATCTCCAGGACTCAAGTCCGGCTGCGGTTTCCCTGAATCCCTTCATAAATGTTACTTTGCTCACACTCCAACAGCACGTCAAGTATTAAAAACCATTTGTCTCCATTCACTCCTATCAAACACGCTCACGCATGCCTGCTGGAAGTCCAAGCCCCTCGCACACAAAACCTCCTTTACCCCCTCCCTCCAACCCTTCCTAGGCCGACCCTACCCCGCCTTCCTTCCACTACAGACTGATACACTCTTGAAGTCATTCTGTTTCGCTCCATTCTCTCTACATGTCCGAACCACCTCAACAACCCTTCTCAGCCCTCTGGACAACAGTTTGTAATCCCGCACCTCCTCCTAACTTCAAACTACGAATTCTCTGCATTATATTCACACCACACATTGCCCTCAGACATGACATCTCCACTGCCTCCAGCCTTCTCCTCGCTGCAACATTCATCACCCACGCTTCACACCCATATAAGAGCGTTGGTTAAACTATACTCTCATACATTCCCTCTTTGCCTCCAAGGACAAAGTTCTTTGTCTCACAGACTCCTAAGTGCACCACTCACTCTTTTTCCCTCATCAATTCTATGATTCACCTCATCTTTCATAGACCATCCGTGACACGTCCACTCCCAAATATCTGAATACGTTCACCTCTCCATACTCTCTCCCTCCAATCTGATATTCAATCTTTCATCACCTAATCTTTTTGTTATCCTCATAACCTTACTCTTTCCTGTATTCACCTTTAATTTTCTTCTTTTGCACACCCTACCAAATTCATCCACCAATCTCTGCAACTTCTCTTCAGAATCTCCAAGAGCACAGTGTCATCAGCAAAGAGCAGCTGTGACAACTCCCACTTTGTGTGTGATTCTTTATCTTTTAACTCCACGCCTCTTGCCAAGACCTCGCATTTACTTCTCTTACAACCCATCTATAAATATATTAAACAACCACGGTGACATCACCATCCTTGTCTAAGGCCTACTTTTACTGGGAAAAAATTTCCCTCTTTCCTACATACTCTAACTTGAGCCTCATCTATCTCATAAAAACTCTTCACTGCTTTCAGTAACCTACCTCCTACACCATACACTTGCAACATCTGCCACATTGCCCCCCTATCCACCCTGTCATACGCCTTTTCCAAATCCATAATGCCACAAAGACCTCTTTAGCCTTATCTAAATACTGTTCACTTATATGTTTCACTGTAAACACCTGGTCCACACACCCCTACCTTTCCTAAAGCCTCCTTGTTCATCTGCTATCCTATTCTCCGTCTTACTCTTTATTCTTTCAATTATAACTCTACCATACACTTTACCAGGTACACTCAACAGACTTATCCCCCTATAATTTTTGCACTCTCTTTTATCCCTTTGCCTTTATACAAAGGAACTATACATGCTCTCTGCCAATCCTAGGTACCTTACCCTCTTCCATACATTTATTAAATAATTGCCACCAACCACTCCAAAACTATATCCCCACCTGCTTTTAACATTTCTATCTTTATCCCATCAATCCCGGCTGCCTTACCCCCTTTCATTTTACTACTGCCTCACGAACTTCCCCCACACTCACAACTGGCTCTTCTCACTCCTACAAGATGTTATTCCTCCTTGCCTATACACGAAATCACAGCTTCCCTATCTTCATCAACATTTAACAATTCCTCAAAATATTCCTTCCATCTTCCCAATACCTCTAACTCTCCATTTAATAACTCTCCTCTCTATTTTTAACTGACAAATCCATTGTTCTCTAGGCTTTCTTAACTTGTTAATCTCACTCCAAAACTTTTTCTTATTTTCAACAAAATTTGTTGATAACATCTCACCCACTCTCTCATTTGCTCTCTTTTTACATTGCTTCACCACTCTCTTAACTTCTCTCTTTTTCTCCATATACTCTTCCCTCCTTGCATCACTTCTACTTTTGTAAAAACTTCTCATATGCTAACTTTTTCTCCCTTACTACTCTCTTTACATCATCATTCCACCAATCGCTCCTCTTCCCTCCTGCACCCACTTTCCTGTAACCACAAACTTCTGCTGAACACTCTAACACTACATTTTTAAACCTACCCCATACCTCTTCGACCCCATTGCCTATGCTCTCATTAGCCCATCTATCCTCCAATAGCTGTTTATATCTTACCCTAACTGCCTCCTCTTTTAGTTTATAAACCTTCACCTCTCTCTTCCCTGATGCTTCTATTCTCCTTGTATCCCATCTACCTTTTACTCTCAGTGTAGCTACAACTACAGTTAACATTTCTAAAATACTTGACAACAAACATGTTAAAATATCCACCAGCTCTTCAACTACTATTAGAAACCTGGTGCAAAAACCCAAGAATGACTCTCGACTCTGGTAGGAGTGCAGGAGTATACACAGTACCACGTGGGGGTGTGACAAAATATATGTGGGAGAAAACGATGAGATCTCTGGATAAGGATCAGGGAACACAAAAACACCTGCAGCCGTGATAACTATAGATACGCATGTGTCCAACACAGGTATGATGTTGGACACCTCTTGAAATTCAGTGAGGCTATATTAGTCATTAAAGAAGATTTACGATGGCAGAAGTGTATAGAGGCTGCCCTGATTGTTGTCAGTAACATTATCCATAAAAAATCCAGAAATTATACTATTTCCAAATTGCTAATCAACTGGATATTACCCATTCTGGAGACTGCTGTAACATTATGTTGTCAGGTCCTTCTCAAACCCAACCCATCTCACCACACTTGTATTACTACTACCCCTCTCATGGCTTATCACATGACTCAAGCCACTGTATATACTCATTTCTTGCTCCTCTCTCTATTAGGACTGAAGAAGCCACTCGTGGCTAAGCTTTCTTCTTCTTTCGACAAACCGGCCGTATCCCACCGAGGCAGGGCGGCCCAAAAAGAAAAACGAAAGTTTCTCTTTTTAAATTTAGTAATTTATACAAGAGAAGGGGTTACTAGCCCCTTGCCCCCGGCATTTTAGTCGCCTCTTACAACACGCATGGCTTACGGAGGAAGAATTCTGTTCCACTTCCCCATGGAAATAAGAGGAAATAAACAAGAACAAGAACTAGAAAGAAAATAGAAGAAAACCCAGAGGGGTGTGTATATATATGCTTGTACATGTATGTGTAGTGTGACCTAAGTAGAAGTAGCAAGACGTATCTGAAATCTTGCATGTTTGCGAGACAGAAAAAAGACACCAGCAATCCTACCATCATGTAAAACAATTACAGGTTTCCGTTTTACACTCACTTGGCAGGACGGTAGTACCTCCCTGGGCGGTTTCTGTCTACCAACCTACTACCTAGTCATGGCTAAACATTTCCTCTAATGTCCTGAACTGTACATAAGTGTCTTTTTTTCCACATGCTAATATATTTTGACAAACCAGATTTTTGTGATATATCATTAGGTACTCATAATAGGAGGGATTGCCTTAATGCTTTGCATAATTATTTTTTAATCCACCCTTTCCTGGAGTGGAGAATTAATTTTTGTATTGACTTGAAACTAGACTTGTGTAGACTTTCAAGTAGCACTGTGGTTACATTACTGAGAATGGTGTATTACATGAAATAGTGTTAAATGAATAGAAAAAACACTCAGAAAGATAGGAATGTGTTCCTGACATTTTGGAGTAAAACTTTAAAAATTTCTTTAGTGTGTCTTCGTCATAAATAATGAAGTTTTAATTCCTCACATTGTAGTTGGTGCTTATTGATCTAGAAATACAGTACAGTGGAACCTCAAAAATCAAACTGCTCCCAACACAACCAATTATGTAAGTGTATTTTTGTAAGTGCTTTTATAAGTGCATTTTTGAGGGTCTGAAATGGACTAATCTAATTTACATTACTCCTCATGGGAATAAATTCATTCGGTAAAGGCACTCGAACAGCCTTCTGGACCAAAGAAAGTTCGATTTTGAGGTTCCACTGTATGTGGAATAGATTCATGTGGCTATTTACAATGTCTATACAGACATGTGGCAGGCAATGTCACCACCAGACCGGGCCGCGGGGGCGTTGACCCCCGAAACTCTCTCCAGGTAAACTCCAGGTAAACCACCACTTGCCAATCTCAGTAAAACTAATTCACAAAGGAACTCATAACACATACCAAACATAAAACTAGAAACAAATGCAGTTGGAAAGTAATGTCCAAGAAAAATACAGAGGTTCTGGAAAGTAATAAAAGGGTGTGGGAGGTTATTGTTGGTTATTAACCCTTTCACCTTCATAGTTTTTAAAATATCTTCTAAAAAAAATAGTTTTTTTCTGAAGGTAATGACACTAAGAATGCAAAATTTGAAGGAAAACATACGAAATTATGCAGGTGTGATGTCATTCTGGGTGCAATTTATGCATCAACAATTTCATCCACTTTAAGACCTATTTTAGGCCAATTACATTTATCAGATTGATGCAGTTCCTGTTGATTGAGTGCAAGACACTACCTGTTTAACTATTAAAACTACCCCAAAAATGCCCAGAAATTAAAAAATAAGCCCATTTAATAATAGTCCAAAATAATAAACACAGTAGGGATTCCAGCCACTAAATGACCTCTCTTGTGTTCATTAGTTATGTTCCCAAGCCTATCCTCTATAACACCTTCCATTTTGAATCCATCATCACACAAAAAAATTGAAGTTTTAGCCTGTTTCTCAGCTAATAAAACTAAAAATGATTAGTCATGGTTTAGGCTCTCCCAGTAACTGAAGTAAAAGCCCATAAAACAGACTTAGGAAAATCACCAAAAATTTAACATTTCCCCCACTTTGAGGATTATTTGAAGCCACTTTGTTTGCTGCAGTGCTGCTCAGTTCCTGCCTACTTGCTTCTACTAGTGGAATTTTAAAGCTGCTGAAAATGCTCTACATAACAAAAGGCTTTCTATAAAGTATGTCAGTAATACTGCCTTTTCCTAATTACATGTAATTGTAATCTATACTTTGTAGAAATAGTTTATCTATCATTTATCACTCAGACTGTACTGATACACAATGACTAAAATTATATGCTAGTTCTAGATTTAAGTACTATGTGATTAGTTTTCCTGAAATGCATTTCATTATAAGTGGCTTTCTTCTGATCCTTCGATTGTATCAAGTTATGGTATTTTGTATTATAATTATTTGATAATTGTAACGAATTGAAATATAAAACTAACGACTGTAACTTCTTTGTATGGCTCTTGAAAAATAATTTTATTTATTAACATTCTTATGTACAAAGTGAAATATTTCAGTGTTTCGTTCTTTATGAACTGAAATTATTCCTTTGTAAGTTTCCCAGCTGTTTCAACAAATAGGAGCTGCTAGTGTTTTTTAGCAGCACTGTAGATGGGTTAGTAGCAAAATACCAGCAGGATACTTTTAAAAATATGAAAAATTCTGTACAAGTGTTTTTTTTTTTTTTTTTTTTTTTTTCAACAAGTCGGCCGTCTCCCACCGAGGCAGGGTGACCCAAAAAAGAAAGAAAATCCCCAAAAAGAAAATACTTTCATCATCATTCAACACTTTCACCACACTCGCACATTATCACTGTTTTTGCAGAGGTGCTCAGAATACAACAGTCTAGAAGCATAAACATATAAAGATACACAACATATCCCTCCAAACTGCCAATATCCCAAACCCCTCCTTTAAAGTGCAGGCATTGTACTTCCCATTTCCAGGACTCAAGTCCGACTATATGAAAATAACCGGTTTCCCTGAATCCCTTCACTAAATATTACCCTGCTCACACTCCAACAGATCGTCAGGTCCCAAGTACCATTCGTCTCCATTCACTCCTATCTAACACGCTCACGCACGCTTGCTGGAAGTCCAAGCCCCTTACCCACAAAACCTCCTTTACCCCCTCTCTCCAACCCTTTCGAGGACGACCCCTACCCCGCCTTCCTTCCCCTATAGATTTATATGCTTTCCATGTCATTCTACTGTGATCCATTCTCTCTAAATGACCAAACCACCTCAACAACCCCTCTTCTGCCCTCTGACTAATACTTTTATTAACTCCACACCTTCTCCTAATTTCCACACTCCGAATTTTCTGCATAATATTTACACCACACATTGCCCTTAAACAGGACAAGTGTTAGAAGCATTTATTTGAGCTGCTATAAAGTAAACTGCTTTGATTCTTATGACTGTACTGGAAATTGCACTAGTGGTCACTTAACATTCTTTTCAAATTAATTATCAGTATATTACAGGAAAATTGTGATAAAATACTTTTATATTAGTAATTTTAATTTATTTGTATTTGAACACTGACATTTGGTTTGTACTTGAAGTTTTGCGTTTGTATTTTCTTCGTGTAGTTCTTGTATGTATTTGTTTTATTTGTAATTAAGGGTTTCCCCCAAAAATGCAGTACAGGTTGGCCATCTCTAATCTGCCAATCAGTAATCTGGTTCCATCGATAATCCGGCACTAATTTTGGCTAGCTGTGGAGACAACTTTGTCCTTGGAGGCAAAGAGGGGAATGTATGAGAGTATAGTTTTACCAACACTCTTATATGGGTGTGAAGCATGGGTGATGAATGTTGCAGCGAGGAGAAGGCTGGAGGCAGTGGAGATGTCATGTCTGAGGGCAATATGTGGTGTGAATATAATGCAGAGAATTCGTAGTTTGGAAGTTGGGAGGAGGTGCGGGATTACCAAAACTGTTGTCCAGAGGGCTGAGGAAGGGTTGTTGAGGTGGTTCGGACATGTAGAGAGAATGGAGCGAAACAGAATGACTTCAAGAGTGTATCAATCTGTAGTGGAAGGAAGGCGGGGTAGGGGTCGGCCTAGGAAAGGTTGGAGGGAGGGGGTAAAGGAGGTTTTGTGTGCGAGGGGCTTAGACTTCCAGCAGGCATGCGTGAGCGTGTTTGATAGGAGTGAATGGAGACAAATGGTTTTTAATACTTGACGTGCTGTTGGAGTGTGAGCAAAGTAACATTTATGAAGGGATTCAGGGAAACCGGCAGGCTGGACTTGAGTCCTGGAGATGGGAAGTACAGTGCCTGCACTCTGAAGGAGGGGTGTTAATGTTGCAGTTTAAAAACTGTAGTGTAAAGCACCCTTCTGGCAAGACAGTAATGGAGTGAATGATGGTGAAAGTTTTTCTTTTTTGGGCTACCCTGCCTTGGTGGGAATCGGCCAGTGTGTTAATAATAAAAAATAAATAATTTCAAATTCCCGGGGTTGCCACACCAATCTGCCGCTACTGTTTGGTGGCGTTACGTGCCTTACAAGTCTTTCGAATTTCTTTTTCTTCATGTATTGTTATAACCTGATCACTTTTAGCCCTAGCCATGGTTCCAGTGAATAAAAGAAATGCTTCTTGTTGTGTAAAGCACATACACCATACATTGTCTATAAATGATAAGGTGGCTTTGAAGCCACTGTCAGTTGCCATGAGCTCAGCTCACTCAGATGAGCTGTGACCAGTAAATTTGGGCCCACATATGAGAGAATAGGTCTGTGTGGTAAGTGTGCTCTATATAAAAAAAAAATACTGCAGCATGCAGTGCACAATGAGAAAAAATAGCGACCATGCTCTTGATGTAAAACAGCGACTTTTGCGGTGTATTTTCGTATGGTTTGTATGGTTGTAGTCTCATTTTTTGGTTTCATTTGATAGAATGGAAGATGTATTACAGAAATAGATATAATTTTGATTGGTTTCATGCTGGAAAGTACCTTAAAATTGAGGTCAGAGTAGTGGAAATGTTCGATTTTTGCCAATGTTCAAGAGTAAACAAATGACATCATCTTCCAATGCGTGTCCAATTGCTCACCTTGACCACATGAAGTACATTGACAATGTGCAAGCCGAGGCTGAGCTGGAGGAAAGTGCGTGGCAAAGCCACAACCAGACTAATACTAGTGACAACCTTTCTACTTCCCTTTCCTCTACTACTACGACCAATGACAGTCCTGTACAGCCACATACATATGATCTGAGACCCAGGACAGCAGTACATTTCTGTGACATTGACATACCTGTTGCCTTGTCCGACTCCTATGCAGACTATGCTAATTGTCTTTTCACTGAAATGGGCATCAGTACTCATGAACTGTATAGTTAGTCCAAATAGCAGAGTCAGGGTGGACAACACCATGTACATATGTAATCTGTTTTTAGAAGGGTACCCATAGTGTTGTTATACTTATATTTGTGTTGTTGTATTTGGATATGTGCATTTGACCCCATCCATGATACTGACCACAGTGTTCTTTTCCATTGAGTGATAGAAGTACAAGAATATAAAGATAGAGGAACATTGCAGTAGGCCTACTGGCTCATTCTTGGCAGGTCCTTTTCAAATTCAGTCCTTCTAGCTATTGTGTGTAATCCATTTTTAAAGCTTCTGAAGATGTTAACTTATGTGACCCAACTTGGCAGATTGCTCCACTGATCAACAAGTCTGTTGCTAAACCAGTACTGGCCTATGTTCTTTGAAATCTGAATTTATCCCAATTGAAACAATTGTGTAGACAAGCTTCATATTTGATTTCTTTTTCAGAGGACAGTGTCTTGTTGTTGGCATGCTTAAGGTTGGCCGTAAGAAGTTATTCCTTCTTGATAGTGAGCAACGAACAAAGGAATGTGCACCTCTCTGTGTTTTAGACTTCTACATTCATGAGTCAAGACAACGCAGGGGTTATGGCAGGAGGCTGTTTGATCATATGCTACGGGTAAGAAGGTTACAGTTCTTTTGTTGAAGTGCCAATTATTCTATATCACTATAAATTACCAGAAAATGGTGAACTATGTCCAGTAGAATTATTAGTGTGGGAAGAAGCAAATATGACTGTCTGATAGAGAAGTACCATAATATATGATGTGCTGTTTGTGTATGATGTGTCTGATATTTATTGTGAATAATTTAGTGTTCTGCAGCCTGTACATTCTTAATTTATTGCTACTGTTTTTTTGTCTCATCATTTGGCTTTTTGAATGATATCAATACCATTTGTCATTTCTCAAATAACTAAGTATAATAATGACAGTGATTATGTATGAATGTTGGTGAAAGTGTTTCTTCTTTTTGGTCACCCTGTGTATTTAGAAAGGAGTAACTTTATTGTTGTATAATTCATCATAAGTCAGAGATCTGGAGAGTTTATCTGGAGTTTTATCTGGAGAGAGTTCCGGGGGTCAATGCCCCCGCGGCCTGGTCTGTGACCAGGCCTCCTTAGGTCAGTGTCCCAGGATGCGACCCACACCAGTCGACTAACACCCAGGTACCCATTTTACTGATGGGGAACATAGACAACAGATGGAAAGAAACACGTCCAAAGTTTCTACTCTGGCTGGGAATCGAACCCAGGCCCTCACCGTGTGAAGCGAGAGCGTTAACCACCAGTTCTCTATTAGGGTATAGATTAAGTACTGTAAATAATATATTTTAAATACTGTATTTCAATATTCTTTTTAACATATTCACTAGTAAACCTGTCTCTGTAGGCCTAGATTTTTTTTTTTTTTTTTTTTTTTTTTTTTTTTTTTTTTTTTTTACTTTGGTTGGTATTGTGAATTCTGGGGATTATCTGATTTATGTTTTTCTACATATTATTTAGTTTTTTCTTCTTCAAAATTTAGTGTTGGTTTTCATCCATTTATATTCTTTGTTTACTACTGTTTAGTGTATATTAAGTTGATAAAATTTGAGTACAAGAGGACCACTAATCACTGTATTATTTTGTTGAAATGATAGCTTTATATGTGTAAAATATCTTGTAGATTGTAGAGATAGGAAGATACTAAAATTTTTGCCGATACCCATACTCGATTTTAGGCCGCTGTTGATACCATCGAAATTATACTCAGAATTAAATGATGCTGATACCTTGTAACATCCCTAATAGACTGATCTTTATCAACTTTTAGGATGGTCCTCTGTTTTTTCTCTGCTTGTTTACATGTTAGTCAGTCTATTTATAATGATGCTTTTATTAGGTGTTGCAGATATCAGTGATATAGCAGTCACCTGTGGTTCTTATCTTTTTTTTTTTTTTTTTTTTTCAACAAACCGGCCATATCCCACCAAGGCAGGGTGGCCCAAAAAGAAAAACAAAAGTTTCTCTTTTTAAATTTAGTAATTTATACAGGAGAAGGGGTTACTAGCCCCTTGCTCCTGGCATTTTAGTCGCCTCTTACAACACGCATAGCTTACAGAGGAAGAATTCTGTCCCACTTCCCCATGGAGATAAGAGGAAATAAACAAGAACTAGTAAGAAAATAGAAGAAAACCCAGAGGGGTGTGTGTATATATTCAAGGATAGCTCCAGGTCAAAGAGGCTGACCAGGTCCCTACTTAACAGAACTCAGTGTGAATGCTTTGAGAAGATACCAGAGCAGCGAACGGATTTCCCAGTGCATCGTTTCAGCGTAAATAGTTGAAGTGTTGTGCAGAAGGTTTGGTGTCGTCGAGTCAGGACCAGTCAGCGCCTCCCCCCCTCTCCGCTGGGGGGGAGGGGGAGGGCGTGTGTAGTAAACAGTGACCCTCTCATAACGCCTCGCCCCTGCCCGTCTCCCCCGCCTCACCCACCCAACTCCCAGCGCCACCCCATCCATAGAGGGTACTTCTCCCCTAACCCACGATGTCAGCAATGGCACTGCAGGGAGTGCCGGGCTCACAGGAACTTCCACTACAGGGACAGCATCATGGAGTTCGACCGCGAGGCAGCTGTCAGGTGTGCCACAGGCAGTGTGTACTCAGTTCCTCAAGCTTCAACATCCATGCACACGAGGGCCTGGGATCTTCAGTCAACTTGGCGTCCACCAGGACGTTGCCATGTCCCTAGGGGCAGCTCTCCATCTGGCTGCTAACGGAGTCACTGGCTTCTTGGACCTCTTGGGGAGGGTCGATGGTGCTCGTGCAAGCAGCAGATCCCGGGGCAACTTGCTGTGTTTGCAATGGCTGTCTGCCGAGGAGAGACAGGCACCTAGCAACATCTGTTGTTGGGCAATGGATGAATTCCCTGCTATGTTTGTTAACTGCTCATTACTCTGTAATTTGTCTATGATTGTAATCATGTGATAACGTGTTTATCATTCATTACCTTTGAAACTTGTCATGATTTTGACCAGCTCTACCTGGAGCTCATTACCTTTGTAAATTCTCATGATTAATGTGTTTTATGATTCATTACCTTTGCAATTATTCATGAGTGTGACCAGCTCTACCTGGAGCTCATTACCTTTGTAACTTGGTCATGATTATGACCAGATCTAGTTCATTAACTTTGTAACTTGCTCAGCTATCAAAACTTTGGAGTCCAGTCCCTGGACCAATTATGTACCTCTGTATTCTTTGACTACCGCCCACAGGATGGGTATGGGGTGCATAATAAACATATTAAACTAACTAACTGTACATGTATGTGTAGTGTGACCTAAGTGTAAGTAGAAGTAGCAAGACGTACCTGAAACCTTGCATGTTTATGAGACAAAAAATGGACACCAGCAATCCTACCATCATGTAAAACAATTACAGGCTTTCGTTTTACATTCAATTGGCAGGACAGTAGTACCTCCCTGGGCAGTTGCTGTCTACCAACCTACTACCTAGGTTCTTATCTTGTGCGTTCACGTAATTGTTTTACGGTATTTATTTCCAAATGATATTTCCCTGCCTCGGTGGGAGACGACCGACTTGTTGAAAAAAAAAAAAAAAAAAAAAATCAAACTTCTTCAACTGGTATCATTCATATAAACATGCTTTTGTATCACATATTGGGGACTGCAAAAAATAGGGAACTAGCTCAGGGCACATAAGGTTATCTTATTTGATGAGCTGAAATGGCATTTAGGTATAAATAAATGTCTATTATTTGGTGAGCATGCAATTGTTTTTTCAAGGGAATAGAAAAGTACAATGTACTTTCTTTCAATTTCTCAGGATCAGAATGTTTTACCAGGTCACATGGCAGTTGACAAGCCCTCAGATAAGTTCCTAGGATTCCTGCGGAAGCACTATCACCTCTACAAGCAAGTCAACCAGCTGAACAACTTTGTTGTCTTTGATACCTTCTTTACTGATAGACCAAGTAAGTATACATGGACTAAAATTTGTATCATAAAGTTTGAAATGTAGTAGCAGACTGTTTTCCCAGATTCTTGTTCACCTTGACCTTCGCTTAATTTCTAAAAAGAGTTAACATCAATAATCCTTTGCTTGTCCAGTATTTTTGCATTCTCCCACCAAGTGATAAAAATCTTGGTGCATTGAGACATCTGTGGAGACAGTTATATCTATATAAGCCAAAAGGTGAATGTACCAGAGTATAATGGTAATAACATTTATGTGAGTGTGAAGCACAGGTTTTAAATGTCACATCAAGGAGGAGGCAGGTGAGGGCAGTATGTAGTGTGAACATGATGAAGAGAAGTTGGAGTGTGTATATTAAAAGGTGTGGGGTTATAAAAACTATAATTTAGAGGGCTGTGGAGGGGTTCTTGAGGTGGTTTGGGCAAAATAGGATGACCAGGAGGGTATAAATTTGAAATGCAGGGAAGGAGGGTGGGATTCATCCTCTGAAGGGAAGATGAGTAAAAGAGGCTTTGAGTTTGAGGCTTGAGCATTCACCAACTTCATGCAAACACACGTATGTGTGTGCGTGTTTTGCACGTGTGTGCACGTGTGTGCTGATGTGTGCACGTGTGTGCGCGCGTGTGCACGTGTGTGCGGCGATGTGCGCACGTGTGCGTGTCCGCCGCCCGCCCGCCCACCCGCCTGAATACATGTAGCATTGGTGTGCCTCTGACAAAACAGTGATGGAGTGAGTGATGGTGAAAGTGTTTCTTATTTTTCAGGTTACCCTACTTTGGTGGGAGACAGCTGGTAAATTGAATTTTTTTTTTTACAGTATGCATAAGTTCTACTGGCCTCAAAAATGTATACTCAGTATACGTGAAACAATGAAAGGGTTAAAAATGCTTACCATTGGACTAACTCCTTTTAGATCCTCAATTCTGAACGTGTTGCCTATTCATTGAGCTGACTTTTTTTTGTCATGAATATGGCAGTAAACTTTGCAAGATTTCCTATCGATTAACTGATGTAATTGTTAGGATTTATAGCCATTGCGTACTGTACCTCAGTTTTTGCACTTTTCAGATTTTTTTTTTTTTGTGTGTACATGATGGGGGCTGTTGCTAGGTGAAATGGCACTGTACTACTTTTTTGGTTTTGCTTCTGTAATTGACACAGACCAACAAAATACTGTGCTGTACTTCTTATATATGATAAATAATGTGTATAATTTCTGAAATTCTACTATTAGTTGCTGAATGTGGTGGCTGTAGGATTATTAGGTGCAAAATGTTTTATATATAGTAGTATATGCACAACTTCCTTTAGGTAATGGAAGAGTGGATATCAGGTTGAAGGGAGAGAGTATGGAGGAGGTGAATGTATTCAGATATTTGGGAGTGGACATGTCAGCAGATGGGTCTATGAAAGATGAGGTGAATCATAGAATTGACGGGGCATAAAAGGCGAGTGGTGCACAGAGGAGTCTGTGGGGACAAAGAACTTTATCCATGAAAGCAAGGAAGGGAATGTATGAAAGTAGTTATACCAACGCTCTTATATGGGTGTGAGGCATAGGTGGTGAATGTTGCAACAAGAAGGCTGGAAGCAGTGGAGATGTCATGTCTGAGAGCAGTGTGTGGTATGAATATAATGCAGAGAATCCCTAGTTTGGAGATCAGGAGGAGGTGCGGGATTACCAAACTATTATCCAGAGGGCTGAGGAGGGGTTATTGAGATGGTTTGGACATGTAGAAAGGATGGAATGAAATAGAATTACTTCGAGAGTGTATAAATCTGTAGTAGAGGGAAGGCAGGGTAGGGGTCAGCTTAGGAAAGGTTGGAGGGAAGGGGTAAAGGAAGTTTTGTGTGAGAGGGGCTTGGACTTCCATCAAGCGTGCATGAGCGTGTTAGATAGGAGCAAATGGAGACAAATGGTTTTTAGGACTTGATGTGCTGTTGGAGTGTAAGCAAGGTAACATTTATGAAGGAATTCAAGGAAACCACCTGCTCCAGACTTGATTCCTGGAGATGGGAAGTACAGTGCCGTCACTCTGAAGGTGTGTTAATGTTGCAGTTTTATAACTAGTGTAAGCATGCCTTTGGCAAGACAGTGATGGAGTGAATTATGATGGAGGTTTTTCTTTTTTGGGTCACCCTGCCTTGGTGGGAAATGGCTGATGTGTTAAAAAAAAATAACATCATTGCATATAGGATATGTCTTTGGTAATAGAGATTTTTCTTTCAAGTTGCTTCTGAAGAGGCGGCTTTAACATTTGTGAGCCGTAGTCCTCGTGCTGTATCTCCAGACCGCAGCCAGTCACCTACTGCATCCCGGCGTCCTTCTTCATGCAATTATTCTCACTCTGCTGGTCGACCAAGTAATGCATCTCGGCAGCCTACTAGCATGTGCGTTTTCTATTTTTATCCTGTTTCACTTGTTTTCAACTCGATAAAGCAAGACTTATTTTTTGATAAATCATTTAATATATCTGTATATGTGCATTTCTTATCTATTAAAATAAGCTTGTGGTTTTCAGGGTTGATATCCTTCATGGCCGTCCTGATCGCCACACTCCAACTGCTTGCCTCTCTCCTCGATACCAAACAACTCTTGATGTACTATTCAAATTATATTTTTGTTTTAGTATTATCTTGTGCGACTTTTCATGACATAAATCTTCTTGAAACTGGCAAAAGGAACTAAAGTAGTATTAATATATTTAGTACAGTAAACCCTCTAATAGCAAGTGGGATACATTCCTGAGAATCAGTGTCCTGTGAAAATTATGCTTTCGTGAAATGAAGTATGGTACATCACATATGCCAAAATACTTTTTTTTCAGTGTTGTACTAGGTAAAAATTACTAGTTTGTCCTGCCTTACATTCTGTTGCCATTACTGTATACTTAAAGCATTTAAAGAGTGAGAGGGAGTGTGTTAATGTAGGCCTTCTGGCAGAGTTGGATGTAGCCAGGGTATCAGTTGAGAGACATTGTCTGTGTCGACGATGTAAAAATAAGCCACTTTTCCTTGCCAAATCGTACCAAATGTATAGGAACTTGCAACAGTATACTAAACTAACATACAGTAGACCCTCAACTAATGCTGGTGTTACATTCCAGAATAATGGCTCTATATTCAAATTAGCATTATTCAAAGTGAAGAATGCAGGGAAAATAGGGTGTGTTCCTTGGAGCTCTAAGCCTAAAGGAAAAAAACACATCTGGTTGCTGTTACTTGTTATGTGCAAATGTATGGTAAGAGTTAACATATATTACTGTTAATAAGACAACCTCAACCGTATGATGGAGGAAGAGGATAATTTCTCTCGGATAATCAGATTTTTGCATAGCCCCAGGCATAAAGATTGGGGAGGGGGTATTATTTTCAGGCCTCGCTTTTGGGAGTAAATTTTTTTTTTTTTTTACATCAGCAGTCAACACGTGCTGTATTAGTGAGGTATGTCTGTACTTACTTACTAATGATGCTATTGAATGAGTGCTAGTGAATGTTTCCTTTTTTGAGATGCCTTACCCTGGTGAGAAAAGGCTGTTGTAAAAAAAAAAAATTATTTTCAATTCTTCTGAATTTTCTGGTAGCCAGTGTGTTAATATTCTGGTAGCCAGTGTGTTAATAAAAATAAAAAAAAAATTCTGGTAGCATTTTCTAGAGGTGTCATATAAAGTATACACTATCTTCTAGTGGATGCGAGGGCAGACTTCTGGTGGAGAATCTCCATTTTCTCAAACCCCTACTTCGTACTCTGCGTCTCGAACTCCATCAAATACAGGCTCTCCATTACGTACTCCATGGGCTGGGTCTCCTCCACGCACTCCATACACTCCACACACTGCCACTGGTTCACAGCCTCTTAGTTACAAGAACAGCATTGACCTGGTGGATGGACATGTGTAAGTACGATTGATTGCTATTAGTTATTACAATTAAATAAAATTAGTTTAAAGTTTTTTTTTTTTTTTCCAACAAGTCGGCCGTCTCCCACCGAGGCAGGGTGACCCAAAAAAGAAAGAAAATCCCCAAAAAGAAAATACTTTCATCATCGTTCAACACTTTCACCTCACTCACACATAATCACTGTTTTTGCAGAGGTGCTTAGAATACAACAGTTTAGAAGCATATACATATAAAGATACACAACATATCCCTCCAAACTGCCAATATCCCAAACCCCTCCTTTAAAGTGCAGGCACTGTACTTCCCATTTCCAGGACTCAAGTCCGACTATATGAAAATAACCGGTTTCCCTGAATCCCTTCACTAAATATTACCCTGCTCACACTCTATAGTTTAAAGTTTAATAGTTTAAAGTTAATGTATCTAATTTTAAAAGAATTGGTATATTGTTTTGACTGAAATGAAGTTAAGGGTATACAGGAGGGCCCTGTTTGTATAGATCTTAGGTTCCTGACCCCCGTGTGATAAGTGAAAATTGCTGGCAGATGGAAAAGTGTTTTTAATTATCAAATGTCTAAAATGCCTGATAATGTGTTTACACTATCATACATTAGGTAATTAATACATACAGCTAAGCATAAAAAACAAGATAAGGTAAAATAGAGTACATACAATACTTACCTTAAAATATAGCACTGGCCACCCTTCCCTTACACAACTGTTGTGTGGAAAAGTGATAAAAAACACCAAACACAATGAACATTGGCTTATTTGGAAAGCCAGTGAAAATTGGAACACTAAAAAGAAGGGTCCTCTTCTTTAGGTATATCAGTTTTTTTTCTTATTCCTGTTACATTCATATTGCATCTCCTCTCCTCCCCTCCTCCTTCTTCTCCTCCCTCTTCCCTCCTCCTCCTCTTCCCCCTCCTCCCTCCCCTCTCTCCCCCCCTCCTCTCCTCTCCTCCTCCTCCTTCTCCTCCTCCTCCTCCTCCTTCCTCCCCTTCCTCCTTCCCTTCCCCTCCTCCTTCCTCCTCCCTTTTCCTCCCTTCCTCCTCCTCCCTCCTTCTCCTCCTCCTCCTCCTCCTCCTTCCTCCTCCTTCCTCCTCCTCTCCTTCCTCTCCTCCCCCTTTCCTTCCTCCTCTTCCTCCTCCTTCCTCCTCCTCTCCTCCTCCTCTCCTCTCCTCTTCCTCCTCCTTCCTCCTCCCTCCTTCCTCTTCCTCTTCCTCCTTCCTTCCTCCTCCTCCTCCCCTTTCCTCCTCTCTCCTCCTCCCCTTTCATTGCTGCAACATTTATAGACTATGCCTTGCAATCCTACAAAAGTTTTGGCATCATTGTATGTACTCTTGTACATTTTCCTGTTCATATCCTTTGGTAATTTTTCTGTATGCAGATGCCTCAACACTTAACTTTTTTCCGTCATCTGTTCTCAGGGTCATTTTATCTTTCATAGACTAATACATTCACTCCCAATTATTTAAATACATATGCTCTCCCTATATTTTTCTTTCTGTCTGACATGCAGTCTTTGCTTAGGGCTTGCTCTCACTCATCTCCTTGCTCTTTTCTATGTTTCATTCTTTGCACTTCCTCCCAAACTACTCTCCAACATTTTCATTTTCTTTTCCAAATCTCTCAAAATTCATTGTATAGTTAGTTAAAGGCAGTTGTCACTTTGACAGATTCATTATCTGTTAAGCCTGTGTCTTTTTTCCATCACACTAGTGTTTGCTTTTACAGCCCTGTTTGTAAATACAAACCACCATAGTGGCCCAATACACATCCCTGTCTAAGGTCCAATTTTACCGGGGAAAGTAATTGTAGGTTATCTTACATTTATCTTATCTATACATTTGCCAACACATGCAGCATCACTTCCTATTGAGCCTAGTCTGTGGTTTCCACTCCATTCATGCAACAAGTACCTCTTTGCTCTTATCTAGGTTTTGTTTGCTTTTGTGTTTTATTGTAAACACTTTATCCACACATTCCCTTTCCTTCTTAAATCCACCTGTTTCTCTCTTAATTCTACTTTAACTATTTCAAAATAATATGCTATACACTTTACAATCCTATAGGTTGATGAATAAGACACTGTGTGCAACACTCGTATCTGTATTGTGGAAATATTTCACCAATCAGACCATGTACACAGAAAGAGGGGCTTATATACTGCAGACAGGTGAGGTAAAGCAGTTGCAGGCAGTATCACCATGGAAAAATCCACAGGTAGAAATAGGTCATGCCTGTAGGTTAGACAAGCATAGAATTCCCTGTATCAGCATTGCAAGATGTTGCTGTGTCTGACAGGAATTGTAGATAAATGGTTCAGAGAACTGACAAGTTGATGAATGAGACACTGTGTTGCATAAGTGTCTCATTTATCAGGTTGTCAGTTCTCTGAACCATTTACCTACAAATCCTGTAAGTGTTTAGATAGTGGCAGCATGCCAACAGTTTGTAAAAGAGAGAGAAATGCAGGGCTCCTCTATATTTGTTGTTTTCACCAATCCTATAATTCATATTCATTCATTTATCCTTGTGCAAAGTAACTATGTATGCTCATTATTCTGTATTGACTTCAAGTAAGTTATATTTTTGTTAACAGAAGTCTCCAGGGGTCAATAGCCCCCACTCCAGCCACATCTCCTGAACGTCGCTCTCTCCAAAAAGCCGCAGGAAGATGGGTGAAGCTGATGTAATTGATCAGCAGCCTTTGGTGGAGGAAGATGGTATGGTGGAGAAGTAGAAAAGTTGTCAGTGTCTGCCACTCCTCAGTCACCCGGTAGGTTTACACATACCACATAAGTTGGCACTGTTTAGTTTGATAAGTTATGCTTTACTGTTGCACTTTCTTGTGTAATTTATTCAAAATTGTTTAAGCAGTGGTGCAACATGTTGGTAGAGGTATGTTTGTATTTATGTACTTACCAGATGATATAGTGGGTAATTTTGCTTTCTTCCTCGTATCTCTGCTTGTATTCCTGTTTCTATTCATGCTACTGTTCTCCTGCCGCTGCTGCTGCTGTTATTATTGCTGCTGTTACTGCTCTTCTCAAATTGCTCATCTCCTGCTGAGACGACTCTTTCTCTTACATGGGTCTTTTCTTTCTGTTGCTACTATTGCTGTTCCTCCCACCTTTTTCTTCTCTGAAATCCTCCTACTTTTCCATTGTGTAATTCTCTTCCATTCTCCATAATCCTGTTCTTCCCTCTGCCACTGTCACTCTAGGACTATGAGACATTAAGGAACTAGAATATCAACTTTACCAGGTGTGAGTGATCATTGTCTGATGACAGAGTGCCTGGTGGACTGTAGTGACAGTAAAGTCCTGAAAAACTTGGACAAAATTAAAAGGGTATTATCTTAGCACAAACCCTTCTTGAAAATGGAAGACACCTAACCCAAGTGACCTGAAGTACATATGATGAATCTAGAAGGGTATAGAAAAATGAACCAGCAGCTGCTGTTACTTTTCCTAAAAATTGTCTTCATGCAAGGCCTATCCCTACCATAACATCTTGGATTTGAAAAGTTCTGAAAAGAAGGTATGGTGCCCTGAGAGAAGACTGCAGCATGGCAATTCGAGATGCATGCCGTATACATCGAATTGGTAGGACTCATCAATGCTTGAATACTGAGTTTTCAATGTCCTAATTATGAGATGGAAAGAGTTCTGCATTTGACAGGAAATGTGGTAGCACTCATGGACCGAACAGTTTACTTGATAAGGAGAGTAATATTTAAATAAAGGTCCTTATGGATTCTCAACAAGTGGCTAACACTAAGCACTATTTCAGAGATGAGAGAGAACACACCTAGAAAGTTATTGAATGTCGTATCATAGTAACAGTATTAAGTGGGGAGGAAAAAAAAAATTCCTCAACACAAATCAGCTTACCTGACATACCACACACTATAAAATACTGGAGAAGATCCTAAATAATTGAATGGGTAGAATTAAAAATAAGCTTTACCATGAACCAACAGTATTAAGTTTAGAGAAGGGAAAATCATGCCTCACCAGGCTACTGGATTTCTGATAGCACAGATGGTAAGGAGAGCAGACTGCATTTTCCTTGACTGTCAGAAGACCCTTGATAAAGTGCTTGACTGTTGTTTCACTGAGTACTGTATAGTAAGTGCTGTACAATACTTTGTGCAACACCTGTGAGTGTGAAAACTAGTTCACACTACATTTGTGCAAAATGAAATGAAGATGTAGGTTTAGGTTCCAGTTACTTAAATACAAATGCTTCCTCCATATTATCCTTCCTATGTGACAGCAATCTTTCTTTGTTTAGACTTACTGTCACTCATCTTGCTCTTTTCTATGTTTCATTCTTTTGCACTACCTCCCAAACTACTCACCTCCCCATTTTATTAAGGCTAATAATAACTTACGTTGATGTTGGCCTCCTGGACCTAAGTGAATAGCTGTGCTTCTTGTGAGATGAAATCTTTTCAGTAAAAGATGTTTGTCTTTTGGGTGGTAATGGTAATATATTTTGTAATGTGTTTGGTCTGCATTATCCTGCATAACTGTATACAACTGATTGTGGCATTTTCAGTTGTTTTAGATCCTGTTTCAGCATCAGACTTCTTTTCATGGTAGGTTTGACTTTAGTGAACCCACTTATAAGCTGGTCATAATCAAGCAGAGTAGTGTTTCATTTTCAGTGTGAGCTATTTTTGGTTCTCGTAATCTCCATATTTGATCTTTGGACTCATTGGCAGTTTTCTTATTTGCATGGTTCACTCACAGACGAGTAAGACGTATGCAAATTTTGTCAAAACAGTTCCCCTCTACAGCAGGCTTCTTCAGGCAAATACAGGTGATTGACACTGGAGACATTAGAAGTAGTGGAGAGGTAATTTTGAGGATATAAGTCCCTTAGCCTTAATAGGTAGTCAGTTCCTTAGGCTGAAGCAGACACACGAGACTAGAGACTTGACATGGAACTAGAAACGAGATGTAGCAACTGGAGATAACATCAC